CTCTTTTCTGGCTCTACAGCTCTCCCAAGCTGAAGGCAGAAGTCTTGTGGTGGCTAATGGAAGTTGTCTCCACGCTCCCCACCCCAGGCACCCGAAACCAGGACAGCCCTGTGCCTTCTGCTCCCCACTGTGGAGCTGTGCTCAGGAGCCCTGCCCTGCCTCGTGCCGACCTCAGCTCTGCTTCCCCGTTTTGTGCAGGTGAATGCCCAGGCCCTTACCAGTGCCTTCTCTCCACACACCAAGCCTTGGATTGGTCTCGCAGAAGCTCTGGGGACGCTGATGCAAGCCTGGGCTGGATCCCCCAAAGGGACCATCCAGGTGGTAACACAGGGTGAGTTGGGGACACTGCAGAGGGAGGGAAGAGGGTTGTGTCTGTAGCAGGTCCCAGACAGCGAGGGGCTGGGAAAGGACTGGACATAGCTCTTGTGACGCCAAGTCCCCGTTCTGTCTGCATAGGGCTCACTCACTACCCAATGGGGACAGAGGGGACGGTCCAGAAAATACTAAGAAATATGTGTGATTTTCACAAGTCACGATTGTACAGTATTCTTAAGATGCACGTGTTCTGCATGCAAGAGAAACCTCCATGAGAGACAGTTTCATGGGAGAGCAGTAGGATTGGGGGAGGGAGTCCCAGCTTAAGCGACAGGATCTTGATTCTGGGTTTGACCCTGTGGCTTGCCTGCTGTGAGATTTCCCTTGTCTGAACCTGGGTTCTTCACGTATAAAGTGAGAGTCGGGGCAGGTGTGCCAGATAGGGTGGTGGGACAGGGTGTGCCCCGTGACACGGTAAGGTGGGTCCTGAGGCGAGCTGACGGTCCCTGGAGCATTGCTCAGCTGGGGGTGGGAGCAAAGAGAGTGGCCTCGGTCTCCCTTTGCGACTATGCAGGCTCCGGCCACTTTCCCAGCGGGCCCAGCGTAGGCAGATGTAGTGAGAGACTGCGCAGGGCTCTAGTTCCTACACCCTGCAGAGGCTGGTCCCCCTCATGGCCCGTTGAGCATCTGCTCACGTGGGAAGAGCTTGGGGGTGGTTAGACCTGGGCACTGCTAGAAATAGGGGAGGTCAGAGCTGCGGGATCCCCAGAGGAAGCAAGGCAGGGAACTGGGTGCCTTCCAGAGGGAAGCGGAACTTCGCCCGCAGGCTGGGGCTTGGGCCCGGGGCAGTGAGGAGTCCCTGACCCAAAGCTGGGTGTCAGTGCCCGCCGGCTCCTGTGCTGCTCAACAAACAGCACCTTATTGTAGGTTCTCTGTCCCCAGGAACATCCCTGAAGAACGCTGGCAACTGCCTAAGCCCTGCAGTCATTGTCGGCCTCCTAAAGGACACTTCCAGTCCGGCGGATGTGAACTTGGTGAACGCCAAGCTGCTGGTGCAGGAGGCCGGGCTCAGTGTGCGTGGCCCGGAACCCGCTCCTTTCCTGTCCGCCCGCCCCCCTCTCCCCCCTTTGCAGAGCCTGCTCGCCCCCTGCTCCTGGAGTGGGAGCCCCGGGGCAGGTCCCGCTGTTGACACCGTGCACCCGTGACGGGCAGCCCGAAGCCCTCCGTCCGTGAAGCGGGAGTGCCGCCTTGCTCCGAGCGTTGCTACGAGTGAACTAATACTCCTGCAGGTGCTCTGTGCAGGCGTGCCCCGTGCACGGCCGGCGGCCGCGGCGCCCCCATTGCACAGCTGAGGAACACGAGGAGCCGGGCTGGACCGGCGCCAGCTGGGGGTCGCCCAGCACGCTCGCCTTCTGGCTCCATCCCGGGCTCCTTTGGCCACGGCACCCAGTTTCTAGATCAGCTTGCCAGCTCTGGAAGCTCCGGCATAGCTGCTTAGCGCCTGCAGCCGCCGCGCCTCCCCTGTGGTGCCTTCCCCGCCGCTTCCCTTGTTAGATCACAGTCTGCGTGTCAGCCGGTGGCAGCTGGCAGGGGCAGTGGGCAGCGGAGCTCCCGTGACTCCCCTCCTCTGCTCCCCGCTGCACTGGGCCACTGATCTGCCCGGGAAGCGGTGAGCCGGAGCGGCCCGGCTGCCCCCTTCCTCCTCCTTCCAGCTCGCAGCCTTCACCTGGACCCGCAGGTCTCTCCTGCCCTCCCTTGAGGGAGGGCGTTGGCTGTCCCGGGGGCGAAGGCTCAGGGGCCCCAGGCAGAGCCCTGGGCCCTCTCCTCCGGCCTCAGTGGCTGAGCGTGTCCTCCAGGCTGGCGCTGCGCAAAGCGGCTGTTCGGTGGACACGGAGGGGAGATGCCACGCAGCTGGGAGGCATAACTGTGCGTCCTCGCCTTCTCCCTGCAGGTAACCACCTCCCACCGCCCCGCTGTGCCCGGGGAACAGGGCTCTGGGGAATGCCTGTTGACCGTGGCCCTGGCAGGTGCCCCCTACCAGGCGGCGGGCTGGGTGCAGGGCACCACACCTGTGCTGCACGCGCTCAACGGAGCTGTCTTCAGACCGGAAGTGCCTCTGCGCAGGGGCCTGCCCCTGCTCCTGTTCCGGGCTCAGCCGTCTCATCCTGAGATGCTGCCCACCATGATTGGTGAGGAGGGGTCTCGTAGGGCTTGCCGTGTCCTTGAGGCTGTGTGTGTGTGTGTGTGTGTGTGTGTGTGTGGCGGGGGGGGGGCCTCTCCAGGGATTGGGCCTCATGGACCTTTGCTTCCTTCAGTCCCACCCCATCCCTCAGCACATTTCTGTAGCATACAGAAGATCTGTCCTGCCCGTTTCCAGAACATTTGGGAAATGGATACAGAGTTCAGAGGGCAAGCGCCGTCTCTCCTGTGTCAGAGCCCCGCGGCAGAGTTAGAGCCCCAGAGTCCCTATTACCCGCCTGCTCACCATGCTCAGCTCCCAGTGTGCACCTGCCTGCAGGGCTGTGCCTCAGAACTCCGAGCCTTTGCGTGCAGGTTTCTTTCTTCTGACCGCAGGCCCTGGGGGCCAGCCTGACTGCAACAAAGCATGTTGGCGGGTGCTCCAGCAGCTGGGGGCATCTTGAACCTGCCTCAGGACCCTGGCACCGGCCCACTGGGAGTTTTGGAGCACTTCCGGGCTTGGCGGTTGTGTCCACAGACCTCGAAAGGCCTAATTTCACCATCCTTGCCAACTGACCAAAGGAACTTTCCCTGTTTTTCTCCTTTGCTCTTGGTCTGGATAAATCTGATGCCCGGCATGGCAGGAGATTGCTCTAGCAATTTGTGGCTGGCTCATTCCTTCCCTACCTTGCACGATGGTCAGGGGATTCCTAAAGGGTCTCTGAGTAGTGAGGGAAGCTGGGCAGATGCCCTGTTCTTCCATCTCTCAGCTCTTTGTTTCTGACCCCATCACCCTCCACTGCAACTTTGATCACAGAGGCCCACGGCTTCCCACCCGATTCCCAGCCTCTTTTTCTCCTTCCCCCCCTGCCTTGTGCCAATCAGCAGTTTTCCCGTCTACTTCCCAGGCCTCCTGGCAGAGGCAGGCGTGCAGCTACTGTCCTACCAGACCTCGGTGGTGTCAGATGGGGAGACCTGGCACGTCATGGGCATCTCCTCCCTGCTGCCCAGCCTGGAAGCATGGAAGCAACATGTGACTGAGGCTTTCCAGTTCCTCTTCTAAGCTCTGGGGGGCTTTTCTGAAGAAACCTGGCCACTGGGATCCAGAGAGAGGAGGCCCACAATCCTCAGGCTGACACTGCTTACTCTGCAGACCTTGGCTGACCCCTACAGTGGAGTGATAAGCAGCCAATAAAGAGCCTGCGCCCAATCTCCCTGTGTGTCTCTGTTATTACCCTGAGGAGCCACCAGAGGGGAGCCGTGGGCCGAGTTGTGGGCAGCAGGGAGGGTAGGTGGTGTGGAGGGAGGGGGCAGTGGGCAAAGTGCCTGCCTGGCTGTGTGCTCAGAAGAGGGATCCCTCTCCTGTCTGTCTCTCAGATTAGTCAGAGGCATTTTTACAGGAAGTCAACTCGGTATGTCAGATCCCTTCCATCTGGTATATACACGCACATTAATAAACATGCCAGCCAACACGCACAGCACTACGTGCCAGGGACCGGGGTGGGTGATTTGCCCAAGAGGAGGGCTAAAACCCAGACCTTTGGCACAGCGGTCCCCATTCGGTGGGAGGGACGGCACACAGAGGCCGCTGGGTGTGGTGGGGTGTGTGTGAATTCGGTTGAGTCCAGAGGTGGTATCTGATGTTTGGAAGGATTCCTGAGGGAGAGGAAGTGCGTTCAGGGGTCAAGCATGGGAACAGTTGCCTATTTCCCAAAGCCAGCTCAGTACGGGTGGGACAGTATATTCCTCGACTCCTCGACTCTTCGTAGGATGATTTTCCTGAAACGTGACAGAATGGCACTCCCTGAGCCTAAGGGCCTCACCTGTTAAGGAAACGGTTTCCCCCCACTAGTAGGGGGTGATCCCTCCCTAGCTTGGGCCTCCCGAATGGCACCTGTTTTTGAGACTCCCGTCTGGACTGAGAAGGCTGGCCTGGGGCAGCTGATGGAGACTGGCGGCTGTGAACCGCCACTGTGGCCTCTGTGCTGTGACTGAGCAAAGGGTCCGTGGAAGCCCCGCGCGGGGGGGGGGGGGGGCTGCAGCGCGTCTGCAGTGCCTCGGAGAACAGGTGTGTTCCGACCTGGCTGCAGCAGACCCGGAAGGGGGAGGCCTTCAAGGAATGTTTACTTCTCCTGAGCCTGTGTTTCCTCCTCAGTAAGAAGGATGGGGTGCCTCAGAGCCCCAGGGAGGGTTAAAGGGACGAAGACGGGGTTCGTGGCAAGTGCCCGAGGCACCTGGTGAACACGAGTGTCTCCATCCGTCTGCGCGTGGGCAGCAGGTCCTCCTTCCGCCTGTCATTGAACCCCTGGCGCTGAGAAGGACTCCCCTGAGGCCGCTCGCCGATCCCGGGAAAACAGGAGGGACTGATAAACATTGGGTGAAACTTTGAGCTCAGTATTCAGTGTCTCGGCCTCTTTCCCCAAAACTCCCCGGACACGCCACTACTTCGGAGGTAGGCAGGGCACGTTCTGGGAGCTCAAGTTCTTTGAGCGTCGCCCAAGAGCCTCCTAGCCCGGGTGGCATGTGACGGCTGGGACGACTTCCTGGCACCCCCTGTCCCGGGGCTGTCCACGTAACCCCCGGGTCAAAAGCGTCAAGATTTTACAATCCAGCTGGCGCCCCACAGAGGTGCTGTTTCCTCGGTATTGCTCTTGGTTTGTGGCATCTCCTCTGCACCCCGCTTCCAGCGCAGCGTCATTCCGTGCGCCCGGCTCAGCAGTGGCAGCGGGGGCCCGGCCATTCCTCACAGCCCTTGTTTCCCCCCAGGTGATGCGGCCTTGCTGGGCCCGGGTGTCACGCGGCCTAGCGCCCTGTCCAGTGACTCCTTCATCCTCTTTCCTGCTCCTAGTCAGCCAGGGCAATCTTCGGCCTACACAGGGAAAGTCTTTACCCGCCAGCTTACCTGGGCAAACAGAGAAATGGCCGGAGCCGACCTAGGGTGACCGTGGGACAGGGCAACTGAAAATCTTTCCCTTCCATGTGGACCTTACATAGAGGGGAGCGCGAGGGCTCGAGACCAAAGGTGGTGGAGGAGACGTGGGGGTGGGGCCCGGAGCCGCTCTCTGTGCAGTGGGGGCAGCGAGCCCCGAGCCCCGGCATCCTGAGCGCCTGCAGTTGGACCAGGGCTGATAATGAGCCTCTGTGCAGGGGTCCCGGCGGCGTCCCTTCAACTGGCCGGCAACCTGATACCCCGTTGTTGAATCTCTTCACCATCACTCCCGCGTTGTGGCCAAATGACTCCTGAGTGGAGGCCGGCCCGGCCCCAGCACTGGGTGATATGGAAGGTCCTGGTTGCTAAGGCTGATGGAGGCAGTTTCAGCACCAAGACCCCACAGTGAACTCCGTGTGGATAGGACACAGGCCCAGAGACTTAGCTCAAGACCTCCGGTGAGTAGGGGCTTTTTCCCGTGACGACAGACGCCACTCCAGAGATCTTAGGAAAGGCATGCGTTGTCCTACCAGGAAGGCCAACCAGACTAAGGGCCTCCAGAGAGCTTGGGGGGGAGGAGCAGGCTGCAGGGGCCAGCAGGGGGGCGCCACAGCTGGTGTAACAGGAGGAGTGCAGCAGGCACCTGGAGGGGCCTGGGGAAGTCAGCCCCGGCTGTCCCAGCTGCTCCAATCGGGATTTCACTCAGATTTTCTGGGGCCTGTGCTGACAGGAGCAGCCCTGGGCAAACAGTGACATGGGCTGGCTCAGCGTCTCCTTCCCATGTGCCCAGCGCCCCCTATTATTCCAAACAGCCCCCTCCCAGCCAGCCCTGTTCCCCACCGATGAAGTCCATCTTCTCTCCTGCTGCAGGGCAGCTGAGGAAGCTTTTTAAAAGACCTGGTGTCCTCTGTACCCCTCCCCAGCTCAATCTCCACCTCCCCAAACCCTGGCTATTTGGTTCGAGGGTCCTGGAAAAAAGTGGTGCCCTAATCCAAGGGAGACAAATCAATCTCTGGCAGAAGCATTCCCTGTTAGGTAACTAAAGTCTCTTTTTTGGCTGGAGGAGTCAGAAAGCATGTTGTATTAACCTCGGCCCTGTGTTTATTTGCCCAGATAACACTGGCAAATTCTGAGCCAGGAGCTACGGCTGCCCTTGAGGTCATTTCTGGCCCGATCTGCATGATGGCATCTTTACATCAGTGAAGGAAGCTGGGTGCAGAGGCTGTGTGTCCCCACATTTCCCCTGTTCCTAGGAGAATGGAATTGCATTAAGGCAGGTGTGTGTGAAGTGAGTGCTCAACAGTTTTACAGCTGTGGGGGTCGGTGGGGCTCCAGAGAGTGGGGCCCTCAGAGCCAGGAGGTCCAGGAGGCTCCTCTGCATGTCAGCTGGGGCACATCTGTGCTCTTGTTTCCAAGAAATACAAGACTGATTTCCTCCTCACTTTTGCAGTGTGTTTTATGGGTTTAGTACCAGCTACAACATTTGGAAATTGATAGAAAAACTTAAGAAAGGAATAAAGATGTAACAGCACAGAAATCTAATGGCCACGAGGGAGCACGATAGGCAGTTACCTGGATTTGTATCCCAGGTCTGGAGGGCGGTGATTCTGGGCTAGGCCTTCCCCTCTTCCTCATTCCCTCTTCCACAGAGGACCCCGGTCCCACCACTAGCCCAGGACGGTGACTGCAGCAGAGAAAGGCAGGAAGGACCACTAAGGATGGCCCCTCACCCTCCAGGGCCGCTGCTTCTGGGGACAACTGTGTCCAATCCAATCCGTTTCCATCTAAGAGTGTGCTTTTAAAAACATGATCCATGGGCAGAAAGTCTGCTAGTGTAGATTCCCCAGGCACCACCATCTGTAGAATCTAAAGAAGCAAAAGAAGGACATTCAGTGTGAGTCTCACCCCGGGCATCCCTCTGCCCTTGCCCCCAGTACCTATTTCTTGTCTGAGGTAAGGCTATGCGGAGGGGCCCTCCTGCCCGCATCAGGAGCCTGCCCAGCTGCAAGCCTGGACCTCTGAGCCACCTGTGCCCAATGTCACAGGAGCCAGGGGACGTGGGCAGGGTCCCCATGATGGTTCTGCCTGACAGAAGAGCAGGCTGGACAGTCTGGACAGTGAGGAGAGACTCCACAGAGTGCCACAGCGACATAAAATCTTTAATTCACTTAAAATTTTATTGTTGTAGGTTGCTTGCTCCTGTGAGTTATTAGCATGAAACAAGGACAGGAACCCAGCTTTCCTCTTCAGAGGTATGATGCCTATAGATCATGGGAGGGAGGGAACCTGGTTTAGAAACTCTCCCTTGAAAATCCCAAATTATTTCTCTCTCTCTCTCTCTCTCCTCTCTCTCTCTCTCTCTCTCTGTCACTATCTCTCCTTCTGATGACTGAACTAGCTTGGCACACCTAATTGTCCCCTCTTTGCCATTGACTTGCCCTCAAGAATCATTTCACAAGCAAGCAAGCAAACAAACAACTCCCTGGCAGTGCTAAATCTAAATCTGGAGCCCTGGTTGCTGAGCTCAGGGTGTCAACACACCCTGCAGCCCCTGCCTGTCAGACCCCTTGTCCACCTTGCTGAGCACCTAACATCCTAGCAGAGGAGGCCAAGTGGTGTGAACTGAGGGCATCCTGCATACCCTGTCATCTTCCTGCTATATCTGGGTATCTCCATTACCCATGGACCTTGTCCTCTTCCCTTGCTTCACATACTGGCCTTGGCAAAGCTTTTACCCTTCATCTACCAAAGGAGGGAAACAACACACACACACACACAGAGAGAGAGAGAGAGAGAGAGAGTATTTGGGGACTGTATTTGTTGAGATTTATGGGTTATTGAAGAAATTGCTTCTCACTCCTCTATTCTGCTTATTTTACCAACTTGTTAGATAAACTGAAGGCAGATGTCTGGGTCCATGAACTGTACGTTTCTAATTCTGAATACTTGATTCTCCTTTAAAAATCCTCCCATCTCCCCCTCAGGCAGTCCTCTTGCAGAAACCCTTCTCTCTTTCTACTTCCGCTCCTCTCTCCACTGACTTTCCAAATCTCACTGCTGTTCCCCAGGAGGAACTGCCTGTCAAGGCCCCCTCCTGCCAAGGCTTCTGGCTCCAACAGAATTCCCAACACCTTGTTTCTTCATGAATCTGTCACCAACACACTAGTATCTACCTTTTCTGAAGCCACTCCTCTTTGTTACTACCTCACTCCTTTGGAGGAAGGAGTTCTGTAGGTTCAGGTTTATCGCCTGCTTCTCTCACAGATGCTAATTTTGTTTCTGTCAAGGTTCTAGGGGATCTTCCTATCATGAGCAGATCAGGGAAACAAGTTGAGTTGGGTTTTTTTTCACATTCCAGAGTTAAAAACATGCCCCTCCCCCCAGCTTTTGTCTTTCCAGGGCAGAGTCCCATGGGTTCTATGTTCTCCTCATGGTACAAACTCCCCACTTCTGATCATTTTGGAGTTGTAGACCCTGTCTGGCCTGGTTACACTATCAGAACTGCACCTGTCACCCAGAGGAAAAACTATGCTACCAACCCTGCAAAATGTCATACCGATATAGCATATCCACCTGCTCCAGGTACCATGCGCCTGGGAAAAGACTGCTCATGTCCCCAGGTGGTGAGAAATTCACTGTATAATGAGAAGAGGCAAAAAGCTACATGGGGTTAGGGAACAGAAAAGAGTCCTAAGGATGCCTCCACCTGAAGCTCTCCTGGCTGTGTGGCAAGGGGCTGTGAAGCCACCTGTCACAACCCAGCAGAGCCCTGGACCTTGTACTAGATCTAGTACTAACCTTATGTACTTGATCCAAGCAGCCATCTTGGATCAAGTACATAAGCCTTGGCCATTAGAAATTTGGTATAGGAGTATGACGTTTTCCCACAGTGAACATGACCTTCTTCTCTTGAAGTCCTCTTTATGTCCTCTTGCCAGTGTATATGTACATCTCAGATCTCCCTGTCTTCCAGTACGCCCTAAGTTCTCTGGCTCTGACTCATTGTATTTTTCCTGGTCTTTGTCCACCAATGCTCATCTCAGAAGTCCTATTTCTATTTTAATTGCTTTTCCTCTTTGCCCTAAGTTGTCCCCTGTTCCAGAGAAGATGGATGACTACTAGGCCTAGGTTTTCTGGAACATTCCCGGTACCACATATTCTGTCTTCCTTACAGACCACACTGCAAACCATATGTTTGGTTTCCAAACTCTTGCCTGAGAAAAGACGTTTTGTTTTGGTATTGGTTTTAAAACCACCATCTGGTCTCTCTAGTCGTAACTTTAGCTTTAGTCTCCTTTTCCTTTGTTGCTTTTTTGGGCAATATTTTGTTTTTATGTTTGGTAGGGAAAGGAGGCAGGTGGGCAGAGACAATAATATCCATTGATAATTTAAGTACATTAATTCATTTAATCTGTTTGGCAATCCTGCAAAGTTGGTATGATTTTAGAAATAAGACAACTGAGAAAACTTCAATAATTTTCCCAAAGATAAAGAGCTAGTGAGTGTCACAGTTCAGTTTAGATTTGAATATCTACCTCCAAACTCTGGGCTCTTTGAACCGTTGCATAGATAGCAGTTTCCAAGATCACATGTCTGGTGTCCTTGGGACTGCATTTTCAGCATCCTGTTTTGAGTAGTTAACTACAATCTATACCAGGAAGGTACATGCTGCCTCCCACCTCTTCTCCACTCTGCCTTCTGCTTCCCACCCAATTCTCGCCTCTTTGGACCTAACAGATTTTCTCCCAATCATATCTCAAAAATGTCCTTGCCCTGGGCCACTATAGTCCAGATTTGTGATGAATCCCCAGCTCTCTGTCACTGGCAGAGTGGAATCTGAGAAAATTTCCTTCTCCTTTTTCCTGTCTTGTCCTTTTACTTACCCTTATGGTAGAATTGTTCTCTTTGGTCCATTATTTCTGTGAACTCCTGAGGGGACATATGTTTCTGGGAGGTGAGGCATTTTGGCAGGTCTGACATACTAGACACCAGCTTCTCCAAGGGGGATCCTGGGAACCAAAGGCAAGATTGTTAAATCTGCTTCACTGTCATTATCACTGCAACCAGTCATGAGCCCAATAGAGAGCCAGGTTCTGTGGGAGCTCCAACCCTGGTGGAAAGTGCTGTGTGTGACTTGAAATGTTGAGAAATGATAAAGGTCAACAAACATAATGTTGGCGAAACATAAGGGCAAACACACTCTTCTAGTCCAGGTATGTCCCACATAAGTGGTAGGATGCACATCCTGGATCCCATCTGACATAAAGTGATCAAAAACATTATTGAAAATTTCAAATCCATCAACTTCCTTTTAACCAGTTGCAACCAAATGGCCATTAATTACCTCCTGCCTGGACTGTTTGCTGGAACAACCTGACTGGTTTCCCCTTTCTACCTTTGTTTCTCTTTGACCTAGTTCCAAGTAGTAGCCAAATACTTGAACTACATAAATTAAACAAACATCCTCCACTGCTTAAATCCCTTCAGGGAGTTCCTCTGTTCTTTTTTTTCTTTATTTTTGTTATTATTTAATTGTATTTATTTGACAGAGAGGGAGAGATTGAGAGAGAGAGTGAAAGAGAGCACAGGCAGGGAGATAGTAGGCAGAGGAAGAGGGAGAAGCAGGCTCTCCCTGGAGCAGAGAGCCTGATGTGGGGCTTGATCCCTGGGATCATGACCTGAGCTAAAGGCAGACACTTAACCAACTGAGCCACGTAGGTGTCCCCTTTCTTTTCTTTAAAGATTTTATTTATTCATTAATTTGAGAGAGAGAAAGACGGAGATAGCGACAGAGAGAGAGAGAGAGCACAAGCAGGGGAGGGGTGGAAGGAGAGAGAGAAGCAGATTCCCTGCTGAGCAGGGAGCCCATTGTGGGCTCCATCCCAGGACCCTGGAATCATGACCTGAGCTGAAGGCAGATGCTTAACTGACTGAACCACCCAGGCACCCTAATTCCTCTGTTCTTAGTCCAGATGGGAGCCTCTGTACTGGTGAGGCAGAGTGGTTCCTTTTACCTGATGAATCTTACCAGAAGTGCTTGATAGAAAGACGGGACTCAGCTGGAGAAGCATCCCAAGACACTTGAAATTAAAAAAAAAAAAAAAGAAAGAAAGAAGCAAAAAAAAAAAAAAACTTGCTGCCAAGCCACAACTGTAAGGGAAGGCCCCAATCCTGGAGCCAGCCAAGTCCTGGGCAGAGTGCCTGCACGTAAAGAAATCAAAACACAAGGAGCCCATTGGCATTATATACTGCCCTTCAAATAAGCCATCAAACTATCACCCCAATCTAGTCAACCTCTTGTAAGTAAAAATGGGCTCCAGGCACTTTGCACAAAGAGGGGCTTTTAGAAGACCCTGGAGATAGACCCAGAAAGAAGGAAACTTGCCAGGAGAGTGGCCAAAATCCAAGATACAAAAGGCACATTGAACATAACAGAATTTGGAATATAAAAGGAGCTTCTCTCCACCTACAGGGACAAGAAGAATTCAGTGAAATCTGAGGTTTGGAGGTCAGGCCACTTCAAGGCTTCCAGGTTTTCTGGCAATGCTCAGCAGTTGTACCTTTTAAATCATCCCTTCATCAGTAATAATTTGATTGAGTTCATATATGTATCTCCTACATTATGTGCGGGTACAAGTACATAAAACCCACAAAACAGAGTATCAATAAAAGTAACAACTAGCATCTGAACACTTGCTGAACATTAGTATTTTAATGCCTTTACAATTTAACATTCATCAAAACACTGGACAGTAGGTATTGTTAGTGTGCATGTTTTATAGATGGAGCAAGTGAAGCACGTAGAGGTCAAGTATTTTTCCAAGATCAAAGCTAATAGGTGGTATTTAGACCTCACATACGGGTTCTACACTTGATCTTAGCCAAAAGAAGCTTCACTTATGGGTTCTAAAGCTACACTCTCCTAACCACCATGCTTTACTAAGGACAGAGATTTTAAATGGATGAGATAAAAATATGCATCAAAGTTCTACTATTTGCTTGCTTCATCCAAGTAGATCTTGCACATACCTTGACATCATACATCATCACTTTGGAGACCACTCCTTAATATTGATACTAAATCTGCCTCTACATGCACCTTTGAAATGAGTTTCTTTCATTATCTCTCGCTCCATCTTCCTTCCTTAAAAATTTCTGAACTGGAAAGTGAACCAAACCTGGTTGACTCTTTGGACCATGGAGTGGGGCCTAGGAGGCAGGGCTAGGTGGCTAGGTGTAGTACTCATCGGGACAGAAGGGAGGCCAGGCACCCGTACAGGGATGAGGTGTACATATTCCTATAATGCATGGAGAGGTAAAGGGAGGCCTTGGTTTTCTTGTTGAACATGTCCAGGGAGGCCTTTTGAAGTGCTTTATCCATGTCCTTGTTGTAGTTTCAGGCACCTGGGAGGCAGCCAGAGACACAGGCCAGGTGAGAGATCACAGAAAGGGAAGAAAGCATCAAGGGAAAAAAGTAAGAGCATCTGGAGAGACTTTTAGGCACTTTTTTTTTATTACAAAATATTTGGAAATACAGACAAGTACAAAGAAAAACAATGTCAATCATAGCCCTATGATTCAGAGAGAGTACTTGGGTCAGTTTTTCTTGTAGCCATCTCCGTTTTCATAAGGCTAACTAGAAAATAAAATCATGCTGTGTATTTTATTCAGCATGCATCCCTAACTAATTTTCTCTATGTCCTTAAATCACCATCCCTAAGCATTTTAAAGGCTGAAGAATGAGCCATGATATGATGTGCCCTACTAGAACCAGTCTCCCCATTCCTGTCCTCCCCAGTTTAAGTGCTACATGTTCCCTCACACACGTGGATTTACTGAGCCAAAAGGTGTGCACATCTTTTGGGCCTTTGCTTTGTGTTTTCTTTTTCTCCCCAAAGCCCTTGTATCAATTTACACATCTGCTGTTGCCTGTTTTCCCAGAGCCTCATCAATTCTGGGTGTTCAAAAATTTTTAAAGGCTGTGTAAGGAAAATGGTAGCTTGTTTAAATTTGTTACTAATGAGTAAGCACATTTGAAAACAGGATCCTGTGCATTTGTTCTTTGAGGAAATTTCTGGTCCATATCTCTTGTTCATTTTTCTATTAGGGTGTTTATCACTGATGAGACTTCCATATATTAATGATATTAAACTATTGTCTTTGGTATATGTTAGAATTTTTTTCATGGAGCAAGTCTTATAAGTAGTGTTTGTGCTCATTTTGATGTTTTGTGTTTGATGTTAGTGGCAGGGTTAGTAGTAGTAGTTAGTAATGGGGACAAATATTGGTAGAATACTTCAAAACTTGAACTTAACAGCGACCAAGAAGAAAAGGAAATATTTTGTTTCCAGTGGGAATTGTGTATTGAAGATAATTCTTTTCTATATGTCTTGGAGTAATGCATCAATAAACAATATTCTTCAAAGGGGGTGAGCTGGACTATCTCCATTTCATAGATAGGGAAATTAAGTTAATGGGACAAGACATTAACTCAACAATGGCAAGTGAGAATGAGGCCTGATGCTCCCAAGCCATCTTTGGATGGCTCCAAAGTTGACATCCTGTACTGTGTGTCACTGCTGGCTGACAGGAAGTCATTGAACATCAGGCGAGCCAGGGATTTCTGGACCATCTTGCAGAAGGGTGTGTGAAAGATCATAAACTGTAAGTCATCGACTGATGCCAGCTGGAAGAGGAAGTGTGAAAGTAAGGATGTGCCATGGCAGATGAACCACGTAGACCTACACCCCAAGACCTACGTGTGCTGAGGGACTTGTGGCATTCCAGAGAACCAGCTCCTACTCCAGCAAACACATGAAAGGTTTGTTCGTTCACTTTACAAGTATCTTGCTAAGCACTCTATTTATAAGTAAAGAAACACATATTTTCTTCCTGTCTACTATTGCCAACCTTTATGACAGATAATTACTCCAAATAAAACTAGTGTTGTGGTACTTTCTCTTTTTTTCAAAAGAGGAAACAGAGTTTCTAAAATATGAAGATAAGTCATGTGTCCAAGGTTACCCAACTTGAAAATGGCTGACATTGGATTCATTTTTATTGTTTATTTTTTAAAAGATTTTATTTATTCATTCATGACAGACCCAGAGAGAAAGGCAGAGACATAGGCAGAAGGAGGAGCAGGCTCCCTGTGGGGAGCCCGATGTGGGACTCGATCCCAGGACCCTGGGATTATGCCCTGACCCGAAGGCAGATGCTCAACCACTGAGTCACACAAATGCCCCTGACTTTAGACTTTGGTTCTGATGTCCCTGACTCTATAGCCACCCCAGACTCTCTTTTAGTGCTGAGAGCCAAAGCAGCATCAGTCAAATTCCATATGAGGTTAAGGAGCAAAATTAGAATGCTGAAGGAATTCAGAGTTGGTGAGAGCAGTTAGACAATAGAAGTGGATGGAAGGTAGAGAAGTCCAAGTCCACTGCTTACTCATATGGGCCAGTGGTGATGGCTGGCATCCCTTTCAGTGCAGTGGAAAGGGGCAAGAAGTGGCTCCTAAGGCCACCCCTACAGCATCCATGTTCTGACACTTCCACAAATGCCTTTTCCCACACTGAAAACTGCCTATCACAGGCGCCCTTCAGGCCATAGTTAAGCAAGTAAGAACCGTTTTCTTTTTTTAAAGTAGATTGCTCTGCACTCTTAAAATATTGTTTCTTTTCTGATTATGAAAGCAATACATATTTTCTTAGCAGGAAAACTCAGAAACTAAAGGTGAAAATAAAATTAACTTATAACATTACCATCCAAAGAAAAATCACTAACACTTTAGTACACTGAGAGTAGAAGTAAGATTTTTCATCATCGATCAGACTTTAAAAGGTAGCAAATTACAAACTGTGAGTCAAATCAATCCTGACTTCAACAGAAACAAATCCAAGCCCCAGTAGGATGTGGTTATTCTGACTCACCACAGTAACTCTCCAGGTGGCTGACACCCACTGGTTTCCTACTGGTGGCTTTGGCCTTAGGCTGTTTACTTTCTTTCATTTAGCTCAAGTTAAAGGCAGCTTCATACTTGAATTTGGATTGCTTCCAGATGGACTTTAGCATAGACCCAGAGAAGGGTGTAAGAGGAAGGGAACATGAAACAATTCTCTTGAGATCATTTTTGGAGGAGAGAAGGAACCTTGTCTAAACCTTTTAGAACCAACTCATGGCCACAAAAATACAGTATCTACTCCTGCCCTCTGAGCCCTGTACCTTGCTTCCACTGGCTCTGGAATTTTTTATGGTATTATGCATAACACCTGTTCAAGGCCCATAGGTAGCACTGGATGGAGAGCTTCCCATCCGCTTGGGTACTCTGTAGCTGTATCTGGTTTGTAGAAGTCATATATGTTCTTCGCGTGGGTTCCTCTAAGCCCAGGCAAGGCATATGGAGAGATTCAGGAACTGTATAATGCAGCCCTATGGAGCAGAGAGGATGGAGAGCCATGTACTAACAGTTTCCTCATCTTTCTCTGTCTCAGCCCACTCAACATCCCTCCCATGTTCAAAGGGAGTTAAAAGATGGTTTATCTTATATAAATGAGATTTATATTTCCATTTCCATACATATATGGCCTTAACAAAATCTGGATAGTCACCAAAAGTCTCAAAGGAGAACCATTCTCCTTATATGCAATTATCTTCTTTCACCTTCAATTGTCAGTCAGGCTCCTTCAATTGTCAAAAGCCTCATCTGCAGCCCCAATGTCATACATTCCATGCATCATTATTCCAATGCATGATGGTGCAGAAGAGGAAACCACACAGATCCCTCTCTTCCCTTCCCCCTTACCCTTTGCTCCCCAGTTCAGCCCTTTGAAGGCAAGCCATGTCATCTTCAAATCCATACTTCAGCCCTGTGTAGTGGGTATGCTAACTTGGGATTGGGAGCTATGCATTTGCTGTGCACAGTCTCTTGGTACCACATTTCCACAGTTTATCACAGACCTCTTTCAAGGGTCAGAGGGGCCTTGGGCCCAACCAGCACAGTCACAGCTCTGGCCCCACCTGTGGGGTGAGCATTATCACCACTCACTATCACTGGGATAGACTGCAATGTCTCTGCAGACCATCACTGCATAGCCACCTGTAATGAAAGACAAGAAGTAATTATCTCTACTCGAGATCACTACCCAAATCTCATGTAGACTGTGTGCTTCCTGTGAGCTAGGCACAATTTTAAGTACTAAAGATAGACCAGTGAACAAAAAGAAAAATCCCTTCCCTCACAATAAGACTATATATCAGGTATAATTATTCCCTCCTTATCAACAAAGAAATGGAGGTCCAAAGAACTTAAGTCATTTGGCCCAAGTCACACAATTAATAGGTGGTATGGTAAGGATTCAGATTCAGGATTCCAACACAAATTCAATGAAAACCCAAGAACTTTCTAAGAATTATAACAACTCTACCTCCAACCCCAACAAAAAAGCATTGTTATACATATTGCTTGGAAACTATAGAAAAATATTTAGAAGATGTTAAGGAAAAGATTAGTAAATTTGACTACCTAAAAATTCAAACTTATTATCAGAAACAAACTCAGGCAAACTGGGAATGTATTTGCAGTACTTACAACCAACAAAAAACTATTTCCTTCATTTATAGAAGTCTCATAAAAAAAAACCCAAAAATATGTATTGGGAACGGCCAATGAACATCCTAAAAATATTGAATCTTTCTTATAATGAAAAAAAAGCAAATCCTTATTTTTCCTTATTAAATTGACAAATATTAAAAAGCTTGATAATATGCATTATAGGAATGAACTTTTGTACAATATCTTGAAGAACAATTTGGGATATTTTTAAAAAAAGATTTTTATTTATTTGAAGACAATGGATTGAGAGAGAGAGAGAACAAGAGGGATGGATAGAGGGAGAAGCAGACTCCCCGCTGAGCAGGCAGCGTGATATGGGGCTCTATCCCAGGACCCTGGGATAATGACCTGAGCCAAAGGCAGACACTTAACCAAATGAGCCAACTAGGTGCTCCTACTTGGCACATCCTATCAAAATTTTATATCAGCATAACTGGTAACTCCATTTCTAGAAACCTATTCTTACAATACATTATCTTTTTTTTTCTTTTTTCTTTCTTTCTTTTTTTTTTTTACAATACATTATCACAAGCATGCAAAGCTATTATGTGATATTATGTAATGTTTTATAATTGCAAAAATATACAAAATCTAAATATCCATCAATATGGGACTAATTAAATAAAATTTGGAATATTCATCAATAGAATATTGTAAGGCTTTTAAAAGAGGAAGTAAATCTTATATATATTGATATAGAATGACCTCTAAGACATCATAGAGATAAGGAATAATATGTACAATGTTAAGAACTAAAATTGAATAGTTATGTATGTGTGTTCTTGTAAGTACAAAGAAAAACTCCGGAAGAATACATAGAAACTGTTGATGTAAAATTCTGGAAAGTAGTAATGGGGTGTCAAAATGGAACTCTGTCTTTGCTTTACACTCATTTGTGTGCATGTATATTTTTTTAGCTATACATTTCAATTACTTTCACTAACAACCCAAAAAATGACAAGAAAAATGAAGTCTTCTGGACAATCTGAGGCTGTACCACTTTTTCTTCCCTCATAGTACTGTGATTTGGAACTTCCTGGTGAGTCCCAAAACCACTTCTGCTCATCTGAAGAAACCCCAGCTGGATGGTTGGACAGGTCAAAGCTGACATCCCACCTACATTGGCTTTGTCTGGTCTTGGTGGTTGCCATCAGGCTCAAGCTTAAATATGGTTTTTGTTTTGATACAAACTAATGATTCACATCTCAATAGTTTTTTAAAAAAATTTTCCCCTCTACCAAGACATCATGTTAAAGAGGGAATACCTTGCCACTCATCAGAATCTACTTGTTTAAAATGACATAATTGAAGCTGATGCTATTCCCAAACAAGGTTCTGATTTTCTGTTAGAGGCTAGTGAGTATCCCATGCCCTTCATTTCTACTCTTCAACTAAATGCTTAGCTGAAATATTGATGGTGATGGTAATAGGGGTTGCTAAGGAGGCAATAATCTAAGTGCCGAGTAGGAGAAGCACTCTACCAACAGATTTGATGATGTAGAGATTGGAACATCGCAAATCACGGAACAATTGATGGTGAGCCTATGCAGGGCAGTCAAAAACAATACTGAATAAATTAGGTGCCTGGGTGGCTCAGTCGTTTGAGCCTTGGACTCTTGATCTAAGCTCAGGTCTTGATCTCAGAGTCGTGAGTTCTCTCCCCACACTGGGCTCCACGCTGGGTGTGGAGCCTACTTAAAAAAAGTTACTGAATAGGTGTGTGGAATTGCACCAGATAGAAAACTGTCTAATTCTTTTTGACTTCGCTTTGAAATAAAAGAATATTGGATTAGATAATCTCTAAGGTCCCTACCAACATTAAGAATTTATAATTAATTTTATAATGTGTGTTCATTATGTTAATTATAAATTATGTTAATTATGAATGTTTTAAGTTCCAGTTTCCACTTAGTAAACATACTAAGTCCAGATAATATTTGTTCACGTATCTGTGGATCTCTTGTACAGGCAGGTTGCCAAATAAGAACTCTGAGGCTCAAATGGTTAAGGGATATAAAAGAAAGATACAAGAAAATGTTAATATGTTAATATGTTAAGGAAGAAATATGGGGTGCTTTAGTGGCTCAGGAGGTTAGGTGTCCAGCTCTTGATTTCAGCTCAGGTCATGGTATTAGGTTCATGGGATCAAGCCCGGTGTTGGCCTCTACACTCAGCAAAGAGTCTGCTTAGCCCTTGCCCTCTGCTCCTCCCCACCTACTGTCTCTTAAATAATAAATAAATAAATAAATAAATAAATAAATAAATAAATAAACAAAATCTTTCTAAGACTATGTTAATCAAAAAATAATTTCCTAGTAACCAGACAAGGGAATAAGAGAATAAAGACTCTGTGTAACAGTCTGTCCTGTGACTCTTTTTTTGTTTTATCCTGATCCTTTAAGCCTATTTCTACCAGGATGTTTTCTCTTTAATACCTAAACTAGTTTAAATCTTCTTCTCTCAGAGGCTTCAGAGAAACTTCTGAGACATAGGAATATATTTGATTTTTTTTTGGGTGTCTCATCAATGCCACACACTATACATAAGATATCAGATCCTCCATTTTTCTTACCTATAAATCAGGTATAATACCTACTTCCTAGGCTGTTGGGGGGTCTAAATGAATGACTTCTGAACATGCTACCTAATTAACAGTATAAAGCTATAGAAGTCTAAGCAGTTATCATCATTGTGGTTGTCGATGATAGCAGCAGCTGTGTGAATAAGTTGTCGTCTCCTCCCTGATGAAATCGCTTAGGAGATGGAGAAACAAAACTGAGGATTAAACCTCTAACCCAGCTCCTTTCTTACATAAGGTCTTGGGAAGCACATACCATCCCAGGAGCTAGACTCCACCCAGTTGGCAGCATTGAAGAGGGAGGCAGTGCCACCATAGCAGGCATTGATGGTATCTATGCCCTCAATGTCAGTATTCCCTGAATCCTGGAAGAGCTCCATGGGCACTGTTTTGACAGCCTTGGACTTGTCAATGACTGTCTCTGTGCCCACTTCCAGCCAACCCTCAGAGTTCCATGGGAACTGCATGCACTCCATTAGCTGCTGCACCACCGTCAGGCACAGGGAGTTGAGGTCCTTCTGGATAGAGCAGAAGCCCATATGGGTTTGGCCCAAGCCCACCGCGTACCTCCCTGCTTCCACATTGTTATAATTCTCCAGGTCTGTCTGGTCCATATAATGGGTGGGGAAATAGACCTCCAGGGCAAGGATATTCATATCCTTTGGCCAAGTATCTGTTTTGGCCAAGGGGACAGCAAGGATCGTAGAAAACCTGTAGTGGAGATAACAATCAAAATCCTAGTAATGGTCTCCAGCCAGTCTTCTAAAAATACAATACAGCAATCATTTCGTTCATTTTGAAAGCTATATTGTATATTTTGAAGCCATATTATCAGATGAGTGCAAATTTAAGGTGGTTATCTTTCTGTTAAGTTAATCCTTTTATCCTTATTGAACGTCCCTCTTCCAGAGGGCCAGAAAGCATATTTGAACAAATCATAGCTGAGAACTTCCCTAATTTGTGAGGGAAACAGGCATTCGATCCAAGAGATAGAGAGCCCCCCACCCCAACAAAATCAATAAAAACCATTCAACACCTTGACATTTAATAATGAAACTTGCAAATTCCAAAGACAAAGAGAAATTCTTAAAGCAGCGAGTTAAGAAGAGATTCTTAACTTATATGGGGAGAAATATTAGATTCACAGCAGACCTCTCCACAGAAACCTGACAGGCCAGAAAGGTCTGGAAGGATATATTCAAGGTACTAAAAAAGAAGAACATGTAGCCAACAATAATTTATCCATCAAGGCTGTCATCAAGAATAGAAGGAGAGATAAAGAGCTTCCAAGATAGGCAGAAGCTGAAAGAATATGTGATCATCAAACCAGCTCTGCAAGAAACATTAAAGGGGACCCTGTAAAAGAAAGAAGAAGCCCAAAGAAATAATCCACAAAAACAGGGACTGAATAGGTATTATGATGACACCAAATTTATATCTTTCAATAGTTACTCTGAACGTGAATGAGCTAAATGATCCCATCAAAAGATGCAGGGTTTTGGACTGGATATTTGCTGTCTCCAAGAGACTCATTTTACACCTAAGGACACCTACAGTCCGAAAATGAAAGATTGAAGAACCATTTGCCATTCAAATGGCCCTCAAAGTAAAGCTGGGGTTGCAATCCTCATATCAGATAAATTAAAGTTTATCCCAAAGACTGTAGTAAGAGGTGAAGAGGGACACTCTATCACACTTAAAGGATCTATCCAACAAGAAGACCTAACAATCATGAATATTTATGCCGCTAATGTGGGAGCTGCCAAGGATATCAATCAATTAAGAGTCAAAGTAAAGAAATACTTAGATAATAATACATTAATAGTAGAAGACTTCAACATGGCACTTTCTGCAAATGACAGCTATTACAAGCATCACATCACCAAAGAAACAAGGGCTTTAAACAATACACTGGACCAGATGGATTTCCATCCAAACGCAACTGAATACACATTCTTCTCAAGGGCACATGGAATGTTCTCCAGAATAGACCACACACTGGGTCAGAAATCATGTCTCAACCAATACCAAAAGATTGGAGTTGTCTCATGCATATTTTCAGATCATAATGCTTTGAAACTAGAACTCACAAGAAGAAATTTGGAAGAAACTCAAACACGTGGAGGTTAAAGACCATCCTACTTAAAATGAATGGGTCAACCAGGAAACTAGAGAACAATGAAAACTAATGAAACTAATGAAAATAAAGATACAACCATTCAAAATCTTTGAGATTCAGCAAAAGCAGTCCGAAGAAGGAAATATATCGCAATACAAACCTCCCTCAAAAAAATGGGAAAAAACTCAAATACAGAAGCTAACCTTGCACCTAAAGGAACTGGAGAAAGAATAGCAAATAAAACCTACACCAAGCAGAACAAGAGAGATAATAAAGATTTAAGCAGAAATCAATGAAATAGATATGAGAAGAACCTGTAGAACAGATCAACAACACCAGGAGTTGGCTTTTTGAAATAATTAATAAGACAAATAAACCATTAGCCAACCTTATTAAAAAGAAAAGAGAAAGACTCAAATTAATAAAATCATGAATGAAAAAGGAGATACCACAGCCAATATCAAGGAAATACAAGTGATTTTATAAACGTATTATGAGCAGCTATACACCAATAAATTAGGCAATCTAAACGAAATGGATGCATTTCTGGAAAACCACAAACTACCAAAACGGGAACAGGAAGAAATAGAAAACCTGAACAGGCCAATAACCATGGAAGAAATTGAGGCAGTTATCATAAACCTCCCAAGACACAAAAGTCCAGGGCCAGAGGGCTACCCAGGGGAATTCTATCAAATGCTTAAAGAAGAAATAATACCTATTCTACTAAAGCCATTTCGCAGGAGAGAAAGGGGTGGAATACTTCCAAACTCATTTTATGAGGCCAGCATCACCTTAATTCCAAAACCAGACAAAGACCCCACCAAAAAGGAGAATTATAGACCAATATACCTGATGAACACAGATGCAAAAATTCTCAACAAGATACTAGCTGATAGGATCCAACAGTCCATTACGGTTATTCACCATATCCAAGTGGGATTTATCCCTGGGATGCAAGGCTAGTTCAACACTCGTAAAACAATCAACATGATAGATCACATCAATAAGAGAAAAAACAAGAACTATATGATCCTCTCAATAGATGCAGAGAAAGCATTGGACAAAATGCAGCATCCAATCCTGATCAAAACTCTTCAGAGTGTAGGAATAGAGGGAACATTCCAGAGTGTCTTAAAAGCCATGTAGGAAAAGCTCACAGCAAATATCATTTTCAATGGGGAAACAGTGGGAGCTTTTTCCCTAAGATCAGGTCTATATATACTCACTACTGCTATTCAACATACTCCTAGAAGTCCTATCCTCAGCAATCAGACAACAAAAAGAAATAAAAGGCATTCAAATTGGCAAAGAAGTCAAATGCTCCCTCTTCGTAGATGACATGATACTGTACATAGAAAACCCAAAAGACTCCACCCCAAGATTGCTAGAACTCATACAGCAATTCAGCAGTGTAGCAGGATACAAAATCAATGCCCAGAAATTAGTGGCATTTCTATACGCTAACAATGAGACTGAAGAAAGAGAAATTACGGAGTCAATCTCATTTACAATTGCACTCAAAAGCATAAGATACCTAGGAATAAACCTAACCAAAGAGGTAAAGGATCCATACCCTAAAAACTATAGAACGCTTCTGAAAGAAATTGAGGAAGACACAAAGAAATGGAAAAATATTCCATGCTCATGGATTGGAAGAATTAATATTGTGAAAATGTCCACGTTACCCTGGGCAATTTACACGTTCAAGGCAATCCCTATCAAATACCATGGACTTTCTTCAGAGAGTTGGAAAAAATAATCTTAAGATTTGTGTGGAATCAGAAAAGCCTTCATATATCCAGGGGAATATTGAAAGAAAACCAGAGCCGGGGACATCACAATGCCAGATTTCAAGTTGTACTACAAAGCTGTTGTACTACAAAGTATGGTACTAGCACAAAAACAGACACATAGATCAATGGAACAGGAGAGAGAACCCAGAAATGGGCCTTCACCTCTATGGTCAACTAATATTCGACAAAGTAGGAAACACCATCCACTGGAAAAAGGACAGTTTCTTCAATAAATGTTGCTGGGAAAATTGGATAGCCACGTGCAGAAGAATGAAACTAGACCACTCTCTTACACCATATAGAAAGATAAACCCAAAATGGATGACAGATCTAAATGTGAGACAAGAATCCACCAAAATCCTGGAGGAGAACATGGGCAACACCCTTTTCAAATTGGCCACAGCAACTTCTTGCAAGATACATCTATGAAGGCAAGGGAAATAAAAGCAAAAATGAACTATTGGGACTTCATCAAGATAAAAAGCTTCTGCACAGCAAAAGAAACAGTCAACAAAACTAAAAGACAACCTACAGAATGGAAGAAGATATTTGCAAATGACATATCAGATAAAGGGCTAGTATCCAAGATCTATAAAGAACTTATTAAATTCAACACCCAAGAAACAAACAATCCAGTCATGAAATGGGCAGAAGACATGAACAGAAATTTCACCATGAAGACATACATATGGCCAACCAGCACATGAGAAAATGCTCCATGTCACTTGCCATCAGGGAGATACAAATCAAAGCCACGATGAGATACCACCTCACACCAGTGAGAATGGTGAAAATTAACAAGACAGGAAACAACAAATGTTGGAGAGGATGTGGAGAAAGGGGAACCCTCTTGCACTGTTCATGGGAATGTGAACTGGTACAATCACTCTGGAAAACTGAGTCGAAGTTCTTTGAAGAGTTAAAAATAGAGCTATCCTACGACCCAGCAATTGCACTGTTAGGGATTTACCCCAAAGATACAGATGCAGTGAAACGATGAGACACCTGCACCCCAATGTTCATAGCAGCAATGTCTACAATAGCCAAACTGTGGAAGGAGCCTTGGTATCCATCGAAAGATGAATGGATAAAGAAGATGTGGTCTATGTATACAATGCAATATACTCAGCCATTTAGAAACAACGAATACCTACCATTTGCTTCGACGTGGATGGAACTGGAGGGTATTCTGCTGAATGAAGTAAGTCAATTGGAGAAGGACAATCATCATATGGTTTCACTCATTCAGGGAATATAAAAAGTAGTGAAAGGGATTATAGGGGAAAGAAGAGAAAATGGGTGGGAAAAATCAGAGAGGGTGACAAAACATGAGAGACTCCTAACTCTGGGAAACAAACAAGGGGTAGTGGAAGAGGAGATGGGCGGGTGGACGGGGTGACTAGGTGGACAGGCACTGAGGGGGGCACTAGTCTGGATGAGCACTGGGTGTTATACTATATGTTGGCAAATTGAACTCCAATTAAAAAATATACAAAAAATTTTTTAAATTAATAAATCTTTCAAGTATAAAAAAAAAGCAAGCAAAATGCACTCATTTGTTTCCCAAACAAGAATATCATTTATTTGCCGATCCAACCTTGAAGAAAAGTTACATTAAAAAAAATTGGAATAAGAACAAAGTGCCATTTGGCTAAGTGTTAAGCTTGTTCAATATATGATTCTGTGCTATGAAATGACTGTGGATCGCCTGATTACTCATTTGGGTTCTTGATATTTTTTGCCTTATTTCTTTTTAGGGTTAACTGGTGGTGCTTCTTTCTGTTTGAACTGCATATACTGTCCTATCAATCTCCTGAAAAACACAACAATCACTGAGATGACTAAGAAAATAAGGCGTACTAACATAACGG